GGGTTTTTGTGTTTCGGCAAAAGGTATTGGACCTGAAAAAACAATATCAAATCTAAAAATATTAATTACATTTTAAAAGATATTTTATAAAAATGATAACAAATTTAATATTTTTTTAAAAGTTTAACCAATCAAAATTGATTGAACTTAAAATGAAAATTTATACAAACATAAAAACAATAACTACAACAAAAATTTAATCGTTTAGTCACGATATAATTAATTCCTTTATACAGTGCGTGATTAATTACAAAGTTTTTCGGCCTTTTATTTAAGCGTTGGAACGATTAAAAAAACTAAAAAAATAAAATGATTTTCAAAAAGCTTTATAATTAGAAATTGATAGTAATGTATAAATAAAGTAATAATGATAATAATAATAAACTACACACAAATAAAAAGATTATAATTTTAAAATGGAAAATAAAGACAAGACTCTGCAGAGAATATTTTAATCGCTTATTTTGTTTATATAATAGAAAAGTTAAAAGATTATTAAATAGTTCAGAGTTTAAAAAATTACCTAACTTTTTTTTTAATTTGGGTGCTCCCAGAAGTCCTTACGGTCTTATTGCAGAGCACCGCGTAAGATCATCAACCTCATTTTAAACTCAAAAATTGATTTTACTGGCGTAATCAGCCTTGATAAAATAAAAGTTTTAATTCTAAAAATTATCACCTGTTATTTAATTAAGTATTAAGTTACCTTTCCGTAAGTCAACTGTTGGAAGAAAGTAACAACTTGAACCGTCCGAATCGTCAACTAAAGAAACTTTTTCACAAAGCGGCAAAAAAAGCTGATAGTAGGGTGAGTGGCGCACTCTTTTAAACTCGCCTTTGCACACATGTGTCTGCATAAAGTCACAGTGTTCTGAGCAAAGAGGTCGCTGAGTGGGTTTGTTAGTTATTGGATTACATTCTGGAAACCACGTAGAGCAAGTATAAGCCTTTGCATGTTCCCAACATTCTGTATTAATTATGGCTGCTTCTTGTGCTGAAAAAAATTGCTTTTATAAATATTTTTTTAAGAAGAAAAAGTGATAATAATAAAATGTTTTTTAAAATTTCAGTAAAAAAACAAGAACAAAGAAAAAAAAAAACAGCTTAACATAGAAACAAAATATAGAAATATAATTGCAATATATTTTAAACATAAAATCAATACCTTATAATAATAACTTACTCTGTTGAAACCAACGTTTGAGTTTTTTTTCTAGCAAAGCTATGGATCCGTCATTGGTCACATACACATGTTTGTTAAACAAATATTCGTTGCACTCCTCACCATTATAAATATGGCACGTTCCAGCATTTCTAAATAATTACGCTATTAATCTACATTTGTTAACTAGACTAAAATAAGAATAGCAAGACATTTGATTTGTCAATTGCCCCTTTCAGGTTCATTTCCTTTGTAAACCCCCTCCCCAACCTTTTTTTTTCTTTCTATAAACTACTCGTTACTACTTATTATTTGCGTAAAAAAAAAGCCTTACTTTGATAATTTTGTGTAGAAGTCATCTTTATCTTCAGCTCTGTTTAATTGAAATAATACTAAAAGTAAAAAAGCGCAAAACATTTTGATTAATATCATATATGTTGTTAAAACAGAAATTTTAAAATAATTTTTTATCATTCAGAAAAATAATATTAAAAATTGGAAAACAAAGGTTACATTCACATCAGTCTGTCGCTGTAAACGTGCAATATGTGTAGGCGTTTATATTTTACAGTATATGACATGCGCTAAGGTATCATATAATATATATCATAATATCATTAGCACAGACAAGAAGTCAAAGCGCAACGAAGACTATCCTAAATACTAAATTTGGATTTTCGAAAGTTTTACTTATTTGTAGAATATGTTTTTTATTTATTTATTTTTTTTGTATTTTTTTTTTTGGAAGCAAGGTTTGCGCTTTTAAAAAATGTCCGAGCGAATGTTGTGTGGATGTACTGTGTGGCAGAGGTAGTGCAAAAAAGTTATTCGCAACAGTTGGAAGTTTTCTAGAAATTGTAAATTGAATAACTCAATTTGACTGTTTAATTTAAAATTTGTTATTAAAACATAAAAAAATTGTTTGAAACAAAACGAACATTAATAAAATAAAAATAATAAAAAATAAAAATACCTCTTAACATTTAATAGAAATGATTTTTAATCATTTAAATTTTTAGTACTTTAAAAATGGTTGTTTTTTTATTTCGCACTTTTTCATTTACTTACCCATTATGAATAAACTATGAAAACATTCTAATTTAGAAAAAATGTCTGATAGATCACTATTATGAAACCTAAAAGAAATGTGGGAACGGGGAGAACGTTTTAAGTAACTTCCTTCAAATTTTATTTGATAAATACTAAGGAAATCAGAACATAAACAAGTCCCCACGTTTAAAGTTTTAATTAAACTAGTTTTTTGATCTTCCATTTAGTTTAATGACGTAGACCTTAGGTAGCAGCTGGTAAAAAAGTTGAATATTTTTAAATTATGGCGTCTTTTTTTTTTTTTTAAACGTTTGCGTTTTGTTAATTAATAATAAAGGAAATAATAAAGTCGTTGCATGTGCGTACGTAAGAGTTAAATATTTATAAGCCGGTTTTTTTTGGTTTCGTTAGTTGTTGAAGATGCTTTTGTCGGTTGTAGTAGCAGCTTTTTTAACTTTTGTAAATATTTAGTCTTCAGATATCAGGTACCCAGGACGTTCTACATAAATAATTTCTAGGCGCATGTTGCTTTTTACATTTTTATGTTAATACTGGTATTAAATGATGTTTTTTTTTTAAAAGTTACAAAAAAAAAATGCTCATAGTTTTTGCCTGTTCGGACTTTACGTAAGGGTAAAAAAAAAATTAAAAAGATTTTTTCCATTTACATGTATTTAATTGTGAAGGCTTTCCTTAATAAGCTGGATTTCTTTGTTTTTAAAGAATACAACTCTCTAGAATACAACCACTCAGTTTTGAAGAAGAGTGTAAGTTTTACTTGGTATTGTATGGCATTTTTGCTTCCAAGCTTCGATTACTTAAACTTTTTAAGTAGCATCTTCAATTAACACGGAGTTAAGTCTCTTTGCTACTGAAAATTTATCTTTCTTGCATTCATGCCGATACGCATACATATACAATACGTATATATGTAAAATGTAAATATATATAGGCGTGGCATTTCTAGGTAAATATAAAATTTATGAAAACAAAAAGAAATAAGATTAGATATATCATAGCAAGGGCTTAAAATAACTGCAGTTTGCTTGGATATTCTACGAAAAAACTTTTAGATGATAATAAAGAAAAACTTTTCGCTTGACGAATACGGTAAACAAAAACAGCTAGCTCAATAAATATAGAAATTTTAAACAACACTTTTAAATAACTATGTAAACAGAAAAAAGGAATTTTATTCACGCGGTCATTTCAAATAACCGACGATATTCAAATACTGTTTTTTATAATATTTTTGCGTGTACTTGTTAAAGTCAAACTCTTTTAGATGGTTCCGTCTTCGTTTTAAACTCTGTTCAATTTTTTTTTTAATTTTAAACAAGAACAAAATCACTATAAATAGAAAATGTTTTTTTGTTTTTTAAAAAAAAATTAATTATTAAATCTTAATAATTAAAAATAGTCTACAATGACAAATAAATTGTAAACTTGAAAGATAAAGCTAAATATTATAAAAAATTAAAGCAGTAAATAATTTTAATAACAGAAGTATTATCACATATATATATATATATATATATATATATATATATATATATATATATATATATATATATATATATATATATATATATATATATATATATATATATATATATATATATATATATATATATATATATATTTGACTTTTTATTTAATTGATAAAGAAAAAAATAACAACAAGAACAGCAACAACAACAATGCAGTAACAATAATAATTATAATAATAATAATAACAATAATAATCTTAACATTCATTATTATTATCGTTGTTAGTATATTTAGAGTTATTCATTATCGTTGCAGTTACTGTTATAAGTAATATTATTTTAATTATTATTACCATTAATATTGTTATTGTTGTTATTATTATTACAAATAATATTCATGTTCTTGTTCTTATTATTATTATTGTAAAAAGAAATAGTTAAAATAATAACAACAATAGATGTTTTTAAAAATAGAAGAAAGATAAGTAAATGATGTAAATTCAACCGTTTTTTTCTATTAATTATTCTGTTTTCGAATATTTTTTTAAACATAAAACTCTTATTTTTTTCATGTGACATATTTACCGGAATGTTCTGGTCTGTAAACTCGTCAATAATATTTAAAATATTTGAATAAAAATATGTAAATGCACAACATATAGTTAATAAAACTTTATGCGCGTGCTTTATACATCCTGCGCGTAAAAATAGAATCAAAACATATTCTTGTTTTTGAAACCATAATTTCTTAAGTTACATAAAACGCCTTATTCAACGTTGTCGTCGAGATGCAAAACATTAACAACACAACATGCAAACAATTTAAATTTAAATAAATAGTAAAAGACACTTAAAAAAAAAAAAAAAAAAAACATTTTTTGTTACTTACAACTTATAATTATAGTTAATTTTATTCGCAAAACATCCATAACTAAACCAATGTTGAACGTTTATGATGATGTAAGGTTAACACCATTTGTTATTTCTTAAATCCGTCTTTGTTTGTGCAAACTCAAAGCCATAAAGCTAAACTATAATATTTGAGTTTGCAGTTGAACTCATTCTTTGTAATAATTTGATCAAAGTTTTTTCAGCCAATTTTCCCTGTGGGATTGTTTGCGTTAAGATTACAAGTTTGAAGACATTAGGTTTTTCGAAAATTGTCACGTCATGTGGAGTCGCTCTCTGCTGGAGCATCTATTGAAGCTTTTTAGAAGTATTTCGGTGTATTTTTTTATGCTTGATGATGGCTAATCTTCTTAAAATTTTTATTCATTTGGGTGGGAAGTTATAAAAGAATTTCTAAATATATAAAAGGCATCAAACAAACGTTTAAACATTTATTATAATTGTATATTCATTATTTATAAACCGCAACATTTAATTTTTTTTACGTTTAGTTTATTAAATATAATATAGTCACAAATGTAAAAAAATATATATTAGATTTATGCTATTGTGGAAAACAAAAAAATCTCCGTGGCGTCACTTTCACAATTCTGGTAATTGACAAGAAACGTTATTTAATAAAGCTGAGAAAATTAAACATAAGATTAGAGAACACATGCGAAATCGTTTGAAATTATTCTGATTCAAAAACTTATTTTACAATTCACCTTTGTTTTAAAAGTAACGAGTAAAAACAATGCATAGACAATAATGCCATCGACAACAATAGCTTGTAAGAATGGATTCAAAAATGACGCTCAGATAACGATTTTCAAACGCAGACCACGTTGTAAATATTCACGTGCTTTACAAAAAAATCTTTTGAGTTTTACTTCATTTTTTTAGTTAACCACGTTTAAGTTGCTCAGAAAAAAACAAAATTGTTTGTATGATAATAAAGTTTATACAACATTTAATAATACTTTTTTTAAAACAAATTTCTTCGAATTCTGGCTCCATCAAGATTACATAAATGATTCAACTGAATTGGCGCCACAATGTATAAGTCTCGTATTTTATATGGAACACAGTTCTAATTAAATATAAAAATATTTTAATCTTTATTAACTTAATAAAATTTTATAATAATAATAATACAAATAATAATAATGGCAATATTAATAGTAATAATAATAACATTAACAATAAAATAGTAATAACGTGAATAATGGACCAATAAAAAATGATAATTTAAAAATTGGCGCGTCAACTTTGCCGGTTAACTGCGAATAAATATGACAGTACTAAAAAAATAATTGTTCTTTTTTTTCTCTTAAGTGTAAAAAAAGTTTTCACTCAAAGTTTTCCCGAAGCACTTTTGGGATCAAAACTTAAACACTTGCCGGAATTTAATATTAGCTAGAAAAAAACAATCTTTACGAAATCTCTATGGCTTTTTGGGTTAAGACTTTTTTGCGTTAAATTGTTTGCGATATAACAGAGTGATAACACTCTATTATAGACATACAACAAGTATTTTTTCTCTGAAATTAGTATCAGGGCCAACGACATCGGGGGGCATGTGCTCCCCCCTCCCCCACTTTTTTTTCCAGAAAATCCTAGATATCGAGGACTTTTTTTAGAAATTTGTGTTGTCGGCCATAAGTTTTCAATTGTACATAAATTGTATTTGTGACGTGAATTGGGGTTGCAAAAGTATAGGTTAAAAGTGTTAGTGTTAAACTCCCGTTTTTGTTCTTTTGTTAGAAAAAATATTTCAGCCTGTCAAGGCATTCATTTTATAAAATTTCCAAGTTAGGCCAAATTGTACATTTTTTAGGCCAAAATGTCCAATAAATCAATTTGTAGATTTACCTACTAAAGGATTATGTGACTCGGGGGTTGTTACTAATTACATTAATCATTATAAATACCTTTGTAGAGAATTAAAAATAGATTTAGCATTTTATTTAGCTTTAAAAAGTTTTAAAGTATTTCTTTATAATTTTTGACGTCATTTATTTTTAATAATTGTTTCTATAGTATATTGTATATATTTGTTAAAATTTAACATGTTAAATAAGAAAATAAAAAGTTTTTAAGTTTAGTTATATATCAGTTAAAATATAATAGTTTTTACGGTTCTATACCATTTTATTTCTTTTTTGAAACAGAAATAATCATTTGCATTCTTCTATTACTTTTGATTTAGAAATTACACAAATAGAGGAGTTGCCATCAATAAAACGACAATTTCATGGAAATAAATAGATATCATGGTTTGAACTGATAATAATAAAAAAAAGCTTTCTAATTAAAAAGCACAAGATCCATATTATTAATAACAGTATCTATATTGTTAATAACAAAAATAATTAATAGCAATAATAACAGTTAGAATTATTTTATTATGTTGTTTAATATTTTTAACTTAAAAAATTTTGAATTAAAATAAATAAATAAAATGACAAGAACTATTCACCAAAAAAGAAAAAAAAAAAAAAAAATGAAAAAAAATAATTAATTATTTGCGCTAAATTATTTTTTATTCGAAAAAGTAAACGACAAAATGTAGATACATCGGCAGGGTGTTTTTATGAGGTTTTATAACTATACTAAAAATGAATAATATGTATTGCATCATCAATTACAAACAAGATAAATTGTTTTTTATTGGCGGTATTCATTTTACCATGTTACCTAAGTAAGCATTTTCTCTTCGTTCCACAGTTTTTTTAAAAAAATGTATTAATAAATTATTGCAGTGGCTGCTTAAACGAAAACAAAGTAAAGGCAAAGTCGAGGCAAATTTTTTTTAAGAAATGTTTTAAAAGAAAAAAAATTAGTTTTAATGATCAAAATTATAGTTCAAGTTGAAGCTTCTAAGAGCTCTTGTATATCTTAAAAGCAGTAATTAAGCGTTGTTTGAAACATCGATGCCATTTTTGATGCTTGACTAGTTACAGACATTTAGGAAAAGAAAAAAAAGAAGAAAAATTTTGGTTTGCAGTATAGGATTGCGTTTTACCTGTGCATTTTGTCACAGGAAAAAAAAATTTAATTTCAAACTAGGCAGGCTCAATATATTATTTTCCTTGTCCTTTTCCCGTTTCAATAGAAAAACGGAAAAATGAAAATTCACTCAATGCGTTAGCTTTTCAAATAATAAAAAGAAGCGCATCTAAATATACTTTTTGTTAAACCACAGCATGAGTATATACATACGCACAAACTTAAAATAAAAACTGTAGGGGTTCAGTAAATAGATTATAATAAAAAATTAAACACATTAATTGGCTAATTGGTTTTAAATGGATTTTTTTTTTAATTATGTTATGGAAGCGTTTACAGTATAAAGTAGCTTATTGAGTTTTATTGGAGCGATTAAACAAAAGATTTTCCAACTATAAGATTATCGGTTACTTCGCAAAAGAATGTACTCGAAGCGTTATATATCAAACATATGACGACAATGACGTCTAGCTGAATTAGTATCAATAAACAATAAATAAAATCTATTTGAAATTCAAAACATGTATTACATTGGTGACGAATCGTCATAGTGTAGTTGACAAGCAGTTTTTTTTTCTTTTATGTATCATGTTTGTTCATTTTTGAGTAATGTAGATTATTTTAAAATGTTCGTCATTAGAAGAATAAACGACTAAAAAATTAATCTTTCAATTGTTTTTTACATAATTCAACAGTTAATTAAAATTAGTAAAGGCGACTAAATTATTTGCTGTAACTTATTACAAATGTACTATGTACAATTTATTACAAATGTACTATGTACAAACTTACTGATGTATTGTAAAACGGAATTATAGTACTTTTTTGAAATTTGAATATTTTCATCATAATTTGTCAAAACACTTTTCAAAGTGTCCGTCTTGGGCCTATAAAAATATTTAACGGAGATTTAGAGAAAAGTTTTTCAGTGAATGCATAGAAAACTAAATATACATTATTTCAAAACTAATACTTTTTAAACTAACTGATTTTTTAATTACTAAAATGGCTAATAAAAAGGAATTAACTTGACACATCATAAAAGTCATTTTATATAGGAAAAAGTCTTGTATAATAAAACCACCTTTTCTTAACAATTATTCATTATAAAAAAAAATTTTCTTTGATTATCTTTCTTATTTAGGACCGACGACACCGAGAAGGGTGGGGGAGGGGTATCAGAAGGCAAATACCCCCCTCCCCATTTTTATTTAAATGAACTTTTTTTTTTTTTTTTTGAAGAAAAATCTTGATATAAAGGACTTTTTTTTACAAATTTATGATTGTGCCCCCCCCCCCCCACTTCAAAACCCGTGTCGTCGGCCTTTAAAAAGTTTACTTTTGAAAGTTGAGTAATTTCAATTTTGGGTAATTCGTTGAAAATTGCCATGATATAATGTAACAATTATGATTCATAAGAAAACCGCCACAAAACGATGTAACAATTATGGGGGACAATCATCACGATAAAATATACGCAAAACTTTTTTGTGAACTTTTTATTTATTTTTCTTTAGTTTTCCGCTATTAAAGTATTATTGATTTTTAAACTTAAAAAATGCAATGACCGGGGCAAGAAGAAGACAAACGATTTTCTTATAATCAAGCCCCATTTCGTCCGTAAATGATATATATATATATATATATATATATATATATATATATATATATATATATATATATATATATATATATATATATATATATATGTATATATATATATATATATATATATATATATATATATATATATATATATATATATATATATATATATATATATATATATATATATATACAAGTGAAAGTCGGGTAGCCCTGGACGTCAAGTAACTCTGGACACTTGATGTACAGCTTTATTTAAATGAAAATATAACATATGCAAAATATCTAACATTATATGCCGAAGCGATTGACTGGGAGTGCAAGATATTGTTTCCTAACACAAGAAGAGCGATGTATCATCATATTTGATTCACATATCTATATACGTGAACTAATAACTTTTTATTGATTAAAGATTTTAAATATTTATTTAAGAAATATATTCATATTTTAAAACTAGTATTTTAAATGAGGCATGATCGTTTGGACACATGTTTGAAGCGTGGTTTCGGACACCTTTATCCATTTTTATATTAAAAATAAGTAACTTTTTCTATATAAATAATAATACATTTAATATAACACACAAACTCATAATAGTAATTTCAATTAATTCCAATAAACAGACCTAAGATTTGCAAAAAATTGTTTTTAAAGTGTTTATTTTTATAAGTAAAAAGTGTTTATGTTTCTAAATGATAACATTTTCATTCCCACTCCTTATATATCAGAGGCAATTTTTAAAAGCAATTTTTTTTTTAAATGTGTTGAGAACATTTCAATGCTAATTAAT